CAGGAATCACAGCCCAAACCTCGAACCTGATGTAAAGTTAACTCGAAGTGGACCAGAAGCTTTAAAATAAAATATAAAATGATAAAACTTTCAGAAAACACCATAGGAGGAAATCTTTGGGATCCAGGTAAAGAGACTTGGCATCAAAAGCATGCTCAATAAGAGCAAAAATGGACACATCAGTATATTTAGTTTTTGTGGCTAGTGTGACAAAGTGCCACAGGATCGGTGCTTTGGAAAAATAGAAATTTATTCTCTCCCAGTTCTGAAGGCCAGAAGGCTAAGATCAGTATCGCCGGTTCCAAATCAGAGTGCGCGCAGGGTCATGCTCCCTCTAGTGGCTACGCTGAGAATTCATCGATTGCTCCTCTAGACCTTGGTTTATGGCTGGAACATTGCAATCTCCGCCTCCGTGATCGCTTTGCCTTATTGTCCGCGTTAAATCGTCCTCCGCCTCTCTAAGGATGCTTGCTATTGAATTTATGCCTCATCCCAATAATCCAAGACAACACTCTTCTCTCATGATCTTTTCTGGAGCACCACCTGGGCGACTCTCCTTGAAGGAGGAGCAACTGCCTCCATTTTGGCTGAGCCTGGCCCTATTCCCATGTACTGATCTGTACAGAGCTGGCTAGGACTTTGCCTTATCCCTTCTACTGGCTTTAAGTAACGCAGATCGGTCCAGCTGAGGTGCTGATGTGTAGTCTTTGAAGCAAAGACGACAGGGCAGTGTTTCCCCTACCCCCCTAGTTCCCCAAAAAACATGTGTGAGGGCTGGGCATTTAGCGGCACAGCGCCTGCCTGGCAAGCGCGAGGTCGTGAGTTTGATTCCCAGTACCGAAAAAAAACAAAAACCAAGTGTGAGTAGAGGCAGGATGGAGAGCCCATGCTCCACACTGTCGGCTGGGACAGAGCCTCGAGATAAGAGCTATGACTTCCAGGGTGTAGTGGACTGACCACTGGTGCTCAGCTTATAACCCCCAGCTGAACTGAGCAAGCGTGGTGCTGGGTGTGGGAGGCCCACCTGGGACTGTTGCCCACCTGGGGACTGCTGCCAGCATAAGAGACAGAACTGGAAAAGAAGATGGGAGGCTGTCAGGAGCTGGTGGAAGCC